CTTTATTTTCTGTCGCTGTCTTTTGTCCTGAACGTCGTGCATTTCATCCACTTTTCTTCCAGTTGAGTTTGCTGAAGTCTCGAACAATGTGTCCGTTTTTCCATAATGTAGATTTTTTTCTATTATTCCAGTCCATTGTTCCTGACAAGGGGGGTCAGCCTTTCCCCATTTCCACGTAATAGCTTTCTTAATAGCTATTAACATTATCTAAATCAGATTTCTCTCTTTTACCCAAACTTTGCTGTTACTGAAACTGCAAAGGTTTAGTACCACAAAATTCATAGAAATATCATATCCCAGAATATTTTTCAGTTTCATTAACATTTTTCCAAAATTTTAGGTTCCAAAATGTGAATACTAAAACATTTTAGAGTTGGCCTAGTGGTTAGAGAAGAGCGTACCTGATTCAGTTGCCACAGCCCATGGGTTCCTGAGTAAAACCTTTAACCCCACACTGCTCCCTGGGCGTCGCACAATGGCAGCCCAGCGCTTAAATGCAGGGTTAATTTCTCCATTGTGAGATCAATGAAGTTCAATTTCTTTTCTATTTCTTTTCTATTACTGAACTGTGGTGAAACAGTTTAATAATTGAACTTTATTAATCTCATATTGGAAAAATTTACTCTCTGCAGCTTGTGGGAGTGGGGCTTCCAAGCTTTATGCCCCTAACCACTAGCCTTGTGAGACCATCCTGATCTCGCGAGCTTTCAAGGTTTCACTCGCAGATCAGTCTGGAGACTCTCCGTTAAAGAAAATTTGGAGCCGTTCACCAAACGAACGTCCAATCAGCGTTGCCTTTGAGGCGGGTTGAGGTGTGACGCAACGAGAAGCGCGACAGTTCAGTCTAAAGAACATGGCGGCTTCAGCTGATGAAACTAGCGTTAGCGTGGCTATCGAGCAAGTTTTATCGGAATTACAGAGTATTTCTTCACTGAAAGAAGAGCAAAACACTGCTCTGGAGGCTTTTCTCAGAGGAAAAGAGGTTTTTGCTCTTCTCCCGACTGGTTTCGGCAAGAGTTTGATCTATCAATTGGCTCCTCTTCGTCGTTGCTCTGTTAGTACGTCATATGCTTCGTTGATCTGATTGGTTTATTTGGCCCGTCTATCACCAACATAGGCCAATCAGCTAACCAGTATTTTCACCCCTTCCCAAAATTACTTCAACTTCAATTACTTTTTCCAGATGGATATGCGGAGCAAATCCATCTGGCGGAGTCAGGTTACCTAACAACTAGGCCACTACTATATATAAATACTTTCATTAAGTAAATGTTAAAACCTACCTGCAAAAAAATACTAAATGTTATATATTGGTATTTAAGGTTTTACCACAAATCTAAAAATCAGATTATTATTAAGACATTGTTCACTGGCTTTGGCCCAGTTAATAAAAAACATTTTAAAAATATAGTTTTATAACTCATCAAAGCAAATAAAGTCAAACTGCTCTTATATAACTAATGAGCAGAACAGAGCAGCTCAGCGGAGCGTGGAGCCTGCAGAGCGTCTGAACTCACTGTGGAATCAAATATCATCTCATTTAACTGCAGCTCTTCTTTCTGACATCACATCACTGCAAAAAAAATTTAAATCTAATTAAGTAATTTTTGCTTAAAATAAGGGTTTTTAGCTTGAATTGAGCAGTGAGACACTTTGCCAATAGAACAAGCTCATTTATATTTAACAAGAAAAAACTATTGCGGTGTCCTATTTTAAGTGCATAATATCTAATTATCTTACTTTAGGAGTAAATATACTCATTCCATTGGCAAATTGTCTTATTTACCTACTGAAATTAAGGGTAAATACACTTAATTTTAGAAATGTTTTACTAATTTCTAGATTGTTTTTCCAGTGCATGATGGTGGTTTTTCAGCCCTACCGTGGGAACTCCACTTCCTCTTCCACCAGACTCCCATCAGGAAAGGAGAAACTCCAGCATTCCAGCTGGATGTCTCGTTGCACATGGTGAAAACTCCGGGGCTGTGGTCAAACTTTGCTATAAAATGGCTAAATCCTACCCTTGGAAGAAGCCTTGAGCTAAAAACTCAGCATCACCTGTTGCTGGTAACAAGGGACTGTAAGCTCCGCCCATCGATGGACTGAAACGGCACCTGCTTTCATCCTGGCCTGACCTTTTTTAATCGAGCTGCTACACATGAATTACCTTTAATTGAATAAATTAACTTTGACCTCTAGTTATAGTTATTAATAAATTCATAATCAAAACAGAGCATTTGCTTAGCAACCCTTAAAATGAACAAGTTGAGGCGTTGGGCGAGCTTTTTAATGCTGGAAACATGTTCAGTGTGAATTTAGTGGGGTTTGCTTTTTACTCCAATGTCTGCAGCTTTTTGCACCTTTTTACTACTCTACTTTTTCCTTCCACTCAACTTTCCATTATAGGCTTTCACACCATAACAGGTCTCTTTAGCAGGGATGAGTCACAGGTTATGGTCTTTAGGGTCCATGTGAATGAATGGAACTATAATTAATCTAAATAAGAGTTAAACTTAACTAAAATGCAATCAAAAACATTCACTGAGACACAAGTTTCAGCCCTTAGTGAAACGTAAAGCCCGGTAAAAATGTGAGAACAGCTGTTGTTTCGAGAACCCAGAGGCAGAGGTCACAGTGTCAGAGTTGAACTGCAGGTTTGTGGTTTCCTCCCTGAAAAAACGCTTCCTTCTCCTCATCAACCAACAAGAATAAAACTTGAGAAAAGGCATCGGAGCAGATCAACAGGAAAAAAGGCGGACAGCCCTTCAGTTTTATTGTTTCATCTCTGAGCAAACACTTTTAGACTCTTGATCGGATTATCCTTTTAAATGTGACATCTAGATATTAAAAAATTTGCACCTTTACAATAAAAAACTAATTTGATCTCTGCTCCAAATCTGAATTGAATAAATCACAAAGGAAACCAAATTATTATTATTTTTTTTTACTTCTTTTCGATTTCACTGCATTTCATTCATCTAATCTTTAATCTATCTTCACTATGGAGCTAAACAGAATCCATAGTGTTTATTCAAAACATTTTCTTTAATAAAATGGAATAATAAATACATTTAGATGCTTAAAGATAATTTTAAGATGAAAGAAAAGATTTGAAACCAAGAAGAAAAGTTCAAAACTTAAAATTCACCTTTTTCAATTCAATATATATATATATATATATATATATATATATATATTGGTTTGGGACTTTGGTGATATATCGGCTACTCGATTTAATATCGAATTTTTAAAACAAAAAATTTTTTTTACCTAAAAAAATGAAGAAAAATTGACTTCCTCTACACCCCCGCTCTGGTAGATGGCACTGTGGATCACAACACCATATCCGTACAGAGGCAGCCACGGTATACAATATAGACTGTGTCTGAACTATAGACAGCCTATGGACTACAAATCCCATGATGCTTTGTGAGGAGAGCTCTCTTCGCAGAGCATTCCGGGATATATCTGCTCGTCTAGTGGCCGTGGATGATCACTACTTTTCGAGGTGCATTGTGGGAAATGTCGAGTGCACTACTTCTTCATCCACTAGACGCTTGGACACCCATCTAAAATGTTGTAATCACTATATAGTGCCCTATATAGTGATTAGGGCGGACGTTCGGACACAGTTGTGGACCGACTCAAACCCCAAACAACATGGATACCAAAATAACTGAAGGATCAAGATCTTCTGATGAACATTTACAGAAGTTTTTTTTTTTTTTAACTATACATTCCATTTTGAAAACTGGGAAAATTAAAGGCATACTATGCAACATTTTTCAGTTAATTAATGTGTTCCATAACGTTTTGGATGATTAAATGAGTCATTTCAGGTCGAACAAAGGTTTTCTCGGCCGCCCTGGTGGTCTGTAGGGGAAATACCGTACTTGCAATTGCAGGAGCCCTCGGCCCGCACCCACAGGCTCAGATAATCTCGTGCATCGCGAGAGTCGGTCTTGCTTTACAGCGAGAACTGCTGCAGGCCCCCAGTGAAAGGCATGCTCGTTGCTAGCGCAGTAGCGATATTTGTGCAGTTATCATGGCGGAACCAGCGAGAAAACAGCGAAAGCCCATGTCATCCGACAGTCGGATAACCGGATGGGAAACTCCAACTTGGCTAACTACAATCTTTGTTATTTAGACACATGCATAAAAAATAATGTATGAAAACATGCTAAATTTTCAAACTCGAAAATTCAGAACAAAATAGCCACTTACCGCAGTAGACATGGTGATTGGTTGCGTTCGCCTGTCTGCTAAGCTCAAAACAACCGCGCCTGGCTTGACGGAGAAACCAGGAGAATAGCTTAGCATATTTACGACAGTGCACTTTTACTTTCACCCTCTGGGGGGAGCCTCGCTGGAACATCAACACCAGTTGCATAGTATACCTTTAATATTGAAATACCCGTATTATACGTATTTTATCGCACCACCCATGCCAATACTTACCCCTATTTTTTAAGCTTTAGAAATTCTTGTTTTAAATCTTAAATTTTTCTGATTTAAAGAAAAAGTTTTAAAATTATATTTTTTTTTTTTCAGTTTAAATACAAATATATCTTTGAATAAACTTTGCAGCTCCATACTGCAGCCTTTATAAAAATGCACACATCCGATCTAAAGAAAAACCAAACACTGGAAATCTAGATAAGTCTTAAAATAAGTGCATTTGTTCTTGCATTGAGGAGGAAAAAGAGACATTTTGCCAATGCAACAAGACAATTTACAGTTAAAATAAGAAAACACAATTGCATTTTCTTATTTCAAGCGCATTTTATCTAATTATGTTATTTTTAGAGAAAAAATACTCATTCCATTGGCAAACTATCTCATTTACCGACTCAAATTAAAAGTAAATACACGTAATTCAGGAAATTTTAACTTATTTTTCTAGTGAAGAATCTACTTTTGGATACTTTCTGCCTTAAACCTAAAATAATAAAAGAGAAAAGACTGATTCTTAATTAAAAAAATATTCACACAATAAAACAATGATTTCAAACATTTTATTCGAACTGAAGCGACTCTGATGCTTCGTGCAAAGTTAATCGAAAGCCTTTAAAGTCAATAAATCAAGTTAAATACAGAAAAATGTTTTAAACTACATTCGCCACCTCTCCTCCTTCTACACACAGTGATATGTAAAAGTTAGAAATCAAAGGTTAAACAAGTTCCCTGCTCTCCAGAGCTCCCTGTGCACCGTCCTCTACAGTTTCCTCCAGAATGAGAATCGAGCCGTTAGTCCGACATGGATAAACAATGAGACTGAATCCGATTGAAGGTGGACAGAAAACAGCTGATTTATTTCTACGGTGGGTGTTTGTTGGTTTGGTTTCAGTTCGATGAGTCCAGAAGACGTTTGGTCCAATCAATGAGTGTTTCAGGTGAAAGAAGCGAAGGTGAAGAAATCACTTAATCTGCAGCCGACGGATCAGTCAGTGGGTGATAAAAACGCCACACTGTCAGGTTTCCACCCACTCCCAGGTCTTGTGCCAACTGCCAAGGCACCATAAAGCATGAAGAATCAGGAACACAAGGTATTCAGACCTTAAAAGGATGAAGGAAGCTTTAAAAGACTGAAAACTGTGATGAAAAAAAGATAAAATTATAAATTTATTCATAGGGCGGAAGACCAAAACATTCATTTGCTAAACTGTATCATCATCAAGAACTGCAGAGATGGTAATAGCTTGGCTCATTAGCATGCTCGCCTCTTTATAACGAAGCTAATCCAAACTGAAGCTTAACTGGATGATGACCAACGCTGCTCTGCAGCAGATTTCAGAAACAATCACTCCTCCCGATAAGGCAAAGCCTCAGACACAGAAGCGGGTCGTTTAGTGTACTCCTTTATTTATTCGACTGAAAGAGGAAGAAAACTTGAAAACAAGTTTGAGTTGATAAAGTGACACAAGTTAGGACTAAAAGTTTGTGTCGGACTCCTTGGTGTTTTGAACCTGCTGTAAGAACAATATAAACCACCAGAGCTGGTGACGAGCTGATTGGGTCAATGCTGCAGTCAGTTGGTCAGTTATCCCGTCAATTGGTGAGCCGGCGGACACAGGCCGCCATTGTTCTGTCCGATTTCCATCGTGTCCTCGTCTGACGCCAGCGGCCTCAGTGTGACAACGTCACATTGGGACCAGATTGGAGACAGATAGAGGAAAAGTGGTGGTGGGGGGTTTGGAGGAGGAAGAAAGGGAGAGGAGGAAGGCGGAGTCAGATGAGAGGGGGGGGACAAAGACCTCATTCTTTGCCGGTGGTGAGGAGCTTCAGGGCTTTCTGGAGGTTCTGGATGGCTGTGCCGACGTCCTCGTACTGCAGAGCGCTGCCAGCGTACTTACAGTATTTCTGCGCCTTGGTGAAGTCTTCTGGGGAGAGCTGGACGCGGCCTGAGGGAGGGAGGGGAGGGGGGAGATGAGAGGAAGAGGAAGAATAGGGAGATCAGACGTTAATGTGAGCCAATTAGAGGCCAAAAGAGAAGCAATCATTCGTGATCAAAGAGCTAATAAGGCTGCAGACAGAGATACAAAGACCAAGATCACTCTACAGCCAAAACACCACAGAGAGAAAGAAAGAGAAAATCTACCGGCTGTCAGGAACTTTAAGGAAAGGGTTGGGGATGAATGAGAGAGCTGCACCTTAAGGTCACGCCAGTGTGGTGTTGGTCTAAGGTTAAAGTGCTGTTTGAACTAGGGGTGGACAGTTCACAAAATCCACGGGTTGGGTTCGGTTCACGGTTTCGTGGTCACGGTTTTCGGTTCGGTATATGTTGATTGTTAGGAAAATCAATTATGTCTTGTATAGTCAGGTTAAAACTAAAAGAAAAAAGCAGTCTGACATTTGATACATCATTGTGACAGTCTTAGGTTAAAAGTAGAGAGATTCTGGCATTGCAAGAGAGGAGACAGTGCTAGTTCCAACATGTGCTTCAATCTTTAACAAAGAAGCATAGGCTCTATCAAAACTAGACTTAGGTCCCTTTATTTGAAATTAACTCAAGATAAATTGACATGTTTCAATTCCCTGATTATCAAAACTCAGTTTGTTCTGCAGTGTTTGAAATACAATCAAATAAATAAGGCTGGATTTCTTATCAAATTTAAAGTGCCACTGTGTTATCTAAAATAACAAAATAAATAATCCTGTAAATATTATAATCATCAATATATCCGCAGGTGAGCTTACATGTTGGTGGTGTTGCTGTTAGCATAAACAAAACGTGTTGCACAATGTTTGCACACTGTTTTTATCCACAACTTTCTTTCCGCCGTCATCGTAGGTCACTCTAAATGCAAAGCGCTCCCATACAGCAGACATATAAAGTGCTGCTGGCGCGTCTTCCAACTCCTGTTCTTTCCCACTCGCCATTCAGACACAATTCTCCACAACAACTGATTTTTTCCTGCTACACCCGGCTACGCTGCTTCGCTTCTTCTTCTTGTTGTTTACTACTGGTGGTTGGCTTTGGTCGCAGTACCGCCACCTTCTGCTCTGGAGTGTAAACGCTTCGCCTATGAGAAAAACGAGCAGCGCATGAACCGAACGCAACACACGCGAACCAAACCGAGACAGTCGAACCAAACGGTTCGGACAGTTTTCATAAACCGTTCCATCCCTAGTTTGAACAGGTCAAACCGCCAAAGTAACGGCTAACCTGCTCCAGAGACGTTTATAGTTAAGAAATAGTTTTGGCCAATAAAATCTCCATTTTCCATTTATAGATTATGATGTCTTAGCAGCTAATCTATCATCGGTTTCCACCTCCTCGCCAGAGGAGAACCAGTCTCAGGAGAGTCTTTTAGGGGAGCGGCTTTAGTTGATGTTTCGTAATGCTGTACCTAATTACGCTGCCTTACATTAAGCAATAGTTAGGCTGTTGTTGGACATTAGTCCTGGACTTGTTATGAATGTGCTATGCATACACCCGAAATTGAAAAAAATACATAGAAAGTTCAGCATATGCCAGCGTTAACGGAGATTCTGGGACGTTGGGCATTCGCTAGAAAAATCGGCAAGATGTGACAGGGCCCTAAGGTCATGGTGTTTGGACCATTCCATGGTAGGGTGGCTAAGTGATATTGATCAATGGCCCTTCAGCCTGTCAATGTTTTGTTTTTTTTGGCTTCGGCTGCTTTTGGCTCGACGTCGATGAAGCTTTTAAACATGAATCTTTTAAGGTGGTTGGGAGAAAAAGAGAGATTTTGGATCAGAAGTCTTCAGCACATGATCTGAGTTTGAAAGACTGACCTTGTGGTTGTAAATCCACCTAACTCCATTACATGAATCATTTAGCGATTAAAGGACTCTTAAATCTCTTATGATGAGAGGAAGGCAGTGATTGTTAGTAGGCTTTTCTGCGATCAAACCCATTAAGTGGGGCTTCTAATAAAGACCTTAACATTCTGGAACATCTCTGGAACATTTTCCCCGTGATTGCTGTCAACTCCTTCTGCCGCTCAATAAGCTTTCTGATCTGAATGACCTGAATTATCTGACATTAAACTTGAACTCCAGGTTCTCATACAGTCTGGAAAAGTATTGAACTATATTGCATTTTTCTTCAGGCCTAATTAAGAATGGAACATTTTTTAGCCCTTTTTCCCTATATTAAAAGTAAAAAAAACTGTTAATGTTTCATCCATCCTGTTTAAACAGGCCTCATGTTAAAGACTTGGATGTATAAAACTATCAAGCTAAAAACACTAAGAATCTTTGAAATCGGAATCTGGAAAAGGTTGAAATTTGAAAAGGGAAAAGTCTTCTGATCCCATCTTCGATCTTTTTAACAACCCAGATCTTTTCTGAACTTGTATATGTTACATATCTGCATCTTATTAAGCTCCTTCCCCTCCACCCTTTAGATTAACTCCGTCTCTCTAGGGGTTTACGGTTCAGCCTGACGGAGGGCGTAATGCTATCCGACACATACGCCCTCCTTCCAAATGCAGGGATCCAGGGAAAGCTGGAACGCAGGCCTGCAAAGCCTCTAAGAAATCCTTTAAATTCAGTTTAAAAAACCAGAACAATCAGAGAAATCTCCAGAAAAATGAAAGAGTTTGGGAATCTAACTCTGGGAAAACTACTGAACCCCTGAAACGATGGTTTACAACGTGTGACTAAGACCCTCCATACATTACAGGGTGTTTTATGAGCAGCGGGAAAAGTAAGGCACGTTTCTTTTTGTTTATTAGCGGCGCTGAATTATAGGTGCATTTATCACGATGACTGTAAAACCATATGCAGTAAAACAAAAAAATCAGATATAAGTTAATTTTATTGCTTTGTGAAACAGTCTCATAGCCAGAAGTGACTGAGCTCAGGATATTTCCCAGCCATAACAAACTGTCTCTCATCATCCATTTTCTCCTGATACTTTAAGCTATAACTAAATACCTAATGGTGCCTGACAGGAACTTAATAACTCATGTTTATTGGTAAATGTAAAACTTTAGCACTCTAATATCCTTTCTCTGTCTTGTTGCGTTATTTCTGTCTGCCCCTGAGAGTATAGGGTATTTTCTGTAATAAAACAAAAAGGTAAAAAATTAAAACTGTTGATGAAATAAGTTCTGGGCAAGAAATGTTTTTACAGAACCCTTAATTCTTTCCTTACATTTTTATTTCACTGGTCTGGGGTCTCCGCCCCTCAATCTGCCTCCCCTCCCCAGAGGAAAGTCCTAACTCGAAACATGCCTCAGCGTCTCGCTCGTCCCTCCGCGTAGCGCCGTCCAAACAGAACACGAGACACCGCATGGGACGGTGCTCGCTCCGCATATCCAACACGACCATCTGCTCAGCTGCTTCTCCAAACCATAAAACGAGTGACGGTGGAGGATTAAAAACATGAATGCATCATGAGGAATCACATTTTTTAAGCTGGTGAAGATTCTCAGTCATCCAGGTCATAGTCATTCCAAAAAAAATAAAAACTTTGACTTTGTTTCCAAGTTTAAAGACGTTTCGCTTCCCATCCAGGAAGCTTTTTCAATTCAAAATGCCAGAAATAGCATTTACTTCAAGGCTTTAAACAGTAGCCCAACAAAGCCTCGTTTTTGTGTAGAATTTGCATGATTTATAAACAAGCTGTTTAGAGTAAGCTTCCTATATGAAAAGAGTAATTTAGCTGTTTTATATGTTTAGAAACGTACAGAATAGCGATCCAGTCTCTAGATAATTCCAGTAGAGGAACCTGTAAGCCTTAGAGAGGTACGCAGTTATTTCCAGGAAAATTAATCTTCCACTTGTGGGAATAAATCCTAAGTATCTGAAACGATTAGGTGATTCCAACCAGCTGATGGGGGTATTAAGTCTCAGCAAAGTGACCTAAAGTGTAACTTCTAAGCTAGAGGGAACCTGTAAACCTGTAATAAGATGTAATGAAGTACCTTAGAAGATAAAATAAACAACCTGTAAATATGATGTTTGAGCTTGGCCTATTTTTCCAGTGTAGTCCTGTTTCTCTGACTGTGACTAACAGGATGTTCTCTTTTCATCCTCTGATGTGGGGGCTCTTCCTGGATGTGTGTTCCCTGGACAGGGCCGCCTGTGGAGCTGGTTGACAAGTTCCTTTTGTATCTCTACTTATTTCTGCATCTGCTTCTGTCTCCTTGAACCCCAGTCGGCCTCAGCAGATGGCCGCTCACACCGAGTCTGGTTCTACTGGAGGTTTCTTCCTGTTAAAAGGGAGTTGTTCCTCTCCACTGTCGCTACAACAGGGTTCATACAGCATAAGGCAAGTTAAATTCAAGACTTTTTAAGACTTTTTAATGCCACTTGAAATAAAAATTTAAGACCAAATTCACAAGAAACACAAGAAAAACCTGCTTGCGACAACTTAACCCAAAGGTTTATTTTAACATAAACCACTGCACTAATGTTTCAAATTTTGAAAAGCTTCCCATACAGGAAGAAAGCTAAAAACACCCAAATGACAGATATATTTTAACAATTATTTAACTGAATTCACAAACTTTGTTTTAGCAGGGAACAAAACAAATCAGTTTTAAAGCCAAAACATAACCAGTGCTAAGTCTTTTTTGCAGCTATTTTTCTTTGTATGGTTTTCTTAGTATGTTTGATTTGGTGATAAGTGGAGGCGTTGCAGAGACAAGGGTGGAACTAAACTGAGAAATACCGGCTGTTTCTCTGTAACTCCATTTTGACGCTTTGTGTTTCGCGCTTCGCATGTGCGACTCCACTGCCTTAATTCCCATCGTTCCGAGCTTGAATGACTTCTTGCACTAAATCCACTGAGCCTCATGTATGTTCCCTGGTTTTAGCCATGGAGGGAACTCTTGGCTGGAGACAATTTTGGTTACATTTACACTTGATCATGTTTTCCAGGCAAAAAGTTAATGGTGCATCTCCCAAATGTCCCGGCAGCAACAAC